GGGGGGGGGAGCAAACCCTTGGACCTAGCCTGTCCCCTTGTTAAACTCCAGTCGCCTGCTGCAGACAAGCTCTGTCTGCAGGCCTGGGCTCCCAGGCACACGATGGAGCAGACGCCTGCTGAGGCCCCGTAGGTTTTAAGAGTCTATGTTCTAACATCTCTATTGTGTAACAATAACATTTCAACCTGCTTGGCAGACAGTGGTGCCGGGAAATAACTTTCTGAATATTAGATTTTTTTCAAGTCTAGAAAAGCACATTATCCCCAGGCTCCTACCAATTAGGGGCCTATTCACGCTGTCCATCCCTTGAGAGCCGCTGCCCCTTCCTGTCACTTTCTGTCACTCCCCCTCTGTCACGTCCGCTCGGGCACAGGGCGCAGGCAGGATGGAGGTGCCCGCAGGTGATGGGGGCGCTGCAGTCGCCAGGCAGAGCCCTCCAACAGCAGGTGCCAGTCTGTCTCGAGCGAGGCTTCAGACGGGACCATTTGAACACAGACATTCTCCTATAAACAAACAGCACTTCACTTAGCAAATTAACCAGACTTTTAGTAAAAATGCTCACCCTCACCGTGTGTAATGATTTGATAATTAGTTCGTCTGATCTGAAAACACATTTTTCCGTCTTTCAGTGGGATGTGAAAGTGAAAACGGGAATATGAGAGGAGGCTGCCAGCCTGTCCAGGACAGGGCGCCGCCGGAGGGCAGGTGTCCAGTCACTGTCCACTGCAGGTGTCGGGTTTAAGGACACGATTCTCCTTCGTTGTGATGGATCTGGGACTCAGAACGAGTTATTGCCCCCACATCTCAAGGGCAGTGAGAACAAACACTACCTACCGCCCACCTGATCTCTGAGGAGAAAACCAGCAACTGCTGGGAAGCGGGGAGCAGCCACGAGCCCAGTTTTCTGGGATGGAAAAGACACGACGGTGTATTCACTTAACAAGCATGTGCTGCCGGGCTCACTGTGAGCTCGGCTCTGTTCTAAGCATATATTTGTTCTCATACAAGTACTAATTCATGTGATCCTCACAACAACCCCATTTTACAGATTAGGACACTGAGGCACAGAGAGAGGAAGCAACTTGCCCAAGGCCACACAGCTAGTAGGCAGTGGGGCCCAGATTTAGGGCAGATGACCTAGCTCAGGGCCATCT